CTCCAGTTTTTTTAAACAGAATCTAGATGGCATCAGCTTCCTACATTCTAATGTTTTGGGGACTGTCCTCCCATTTATTTATGTATCGGATCTGTATTGCATAATGTATACTGTGAATCCAACGATTAATTAGCAATTTAAAAAGCTAATTCAATCAATCCTGACTTATTTAATATCTGCATAACATAGCATAACTTTTTCTGTTTGTACCTAGTGGTAGATTATCATATCAAATGAAGCCCTAAGATAGCTAACAGGTAGTTCTCAAGTTACAACCATTCATTGAGTGACTGTTCAAAGTTACAATGGCCCTGAAAAACGTGACTTATGACCTTTTTTACACTTATGATACATGATACTTTTTTACAGTATCCCCATGGTCACGTGATCAAAATTCAGATGCTTGGCAACTGGCTCATATTTAATAATAACAACAACAACAACAACAACAACAACAACAATAAAGTTGAAAGGGACCTTGGAGGTCATCTAGTCCAACTCCCTGCTCAGGCAGGAAACCCTATACCAGCGGTTCTCAACCTATGGGTCGCAACCCCATTTGGGGTCGATCGACCATTTCACGGGGGTCACCAAGCAAGGCTGTCCGCCATTTTTTTCCCCTTTTCCGGCGGGTGCCTTACCTCCCTTGGGTTGGGCCAGCTGGTGGTTGGCCTGCTCCGTCTCTGCCGCTTGCCAGCTACGCCTCGGCCGGTGCAGGGGGCGGAACCACGCATGCGCGGCACTCCCGGGCAGGGAAAGTCCTCGACCTACGACCGGTTGGGTAGTTCTCAACTTACAACCGGTTTAGTCCTCGACTTACGACCGGTTTAGTCCTCGACTTACGACCATTTAGTCCTCGACTTACGACCAGTTGGGGGTCGCGGCATTAAAAAGTTGACAACCACTGCCCTATACCATTTCAGACAAATGGCTGTCCAGTCTCTTCTTAAAAACTTCCAGTGTTGGAGCACTCACCGCTTCTGGAGGCAGGTTGTTCCACTGGTTAATTGTTCTAACTGTCAGGAAGTTTCTCCTTAGTTCTAGGTTGCTTCTCTCCTTGGTTAGTTTCCGTCCGTTGCTTCTTGTCTTGCCTTCAGGCGCTTTGGAGAATAGCTTGACTCCTCTTCTTTATGGCAGCCCTTGAGATATTGGAACACTGCTATCATGTCCCCCCTCGTCCTTCTCTTTGTTAAACTAGACATACCCAATTCCAGCAGCCGTTCCTTATATGTTTTAGCCTCCAGTCCCCTAATCATCTTTGTTGCTCTTCTCTGTACTCTTTCTAGAGTCTCAACATCTTTTTTACATCGTGGTGACAATTGCAGTGTCCCAGGGTCACGGATCACCTTTTGCAAACTTCTGACAAGCAAAATCAATGGGGAAGCCAGATTCACTTAACAACCATGTTACTAAATTAACAACTATGGTGATTCAATTAACAACTACATCAGGAAAGATTGTAAAATGGGATAAAACTCCTTTAACAACTTAGCAATAGACATTTTGGGCTCAGTTGTGCTTGTAAGTCAAGGACTACTTGTATTTGGTTTTGGTTTGATATGAGTCTGTGCAAATGGAATCAATTAAACTTTTTTGTATGTCACATTTGAAGCCATGGTTTGTTATTGGCTTTTTGTCCCAGTATGAAAGGTAAACAAGGATGTATGATTTGTTTGTGGCTTCTTGTCTTATTTCTAATTTGATTACGTGCTCTTCCCAGACATGTAACCAATCCAGTATTTTGCGTATTGTGTGCTTGTATAAACCTATGAATCCATATTCTTCGTACTGAAACAATTAGTTCAGGATCAGCCTACGTATTATTTTCAATTTTTTTTAAGGTGAATGACAGTTTGAGGATGCAACTGAGAAATAAGAATTTTAGTTTCTTTTTTCCTTGTCTCTCTATTTTACTAGGTTTTATATGGCCTCATTTTGATGGAGAAACATCACACTGAACAGCTGTTTTGCATCATTTTCTTCATTTTGCTTTAATAATTATATTGCTTCATAATAAATAATCTCATGAATTGTTCATTTTATTTTTAGTTATTGTCTTGGCAATATATATATATATATATATATATATATATATATATATATATATATATATATATATATATAGTTATTTTTCTTGTTAAGCAGGAGAAAGCACTTTTGGTAGCCAGCATTCCATTATTAAATAATATCAGCATTCTATTAATATTTGCTAGTTATTAATAAAACATTATTTTGTGTACTGTGAACCACATGGAAAGCAGTAATGATATTTTGGTGTACATTAAATGGAAAAGTGTGATTTGGGAAGAGAGTTTAAAAAAGAGATTTGGGTATGAGGGCTTCTATCTATTTTTGCAGTTTTAAGTAGTCCAAATGGATTTTAATGCATATTTTGCTCTTGTTTCTTGCTGAAAATTAGTAAATTGTTCTATCAGTATTTAATAATTTGCTGCTGAATTTCAACAACATAGTTCATAGGAGGAAGAACGTCGGGAAATTCAAAAATTAAGGGTCAGGTGTAGAATAACTTTCTGAACCGTAGACATAAATACCAATACAAGAGAATATTTGTACTCAGGATTGAACTGTGAGGTCTTTGCTGCTCTCTGAGCTTTGTTGTTTTCTTGCAGTCATTTTGTTATTCAATTGCAAAAAAAAAACAAAACCCAACCAAACTTAGAGAGCACCAATGACCCCCCCAAAGAAATAAATATTAGAAATAGAAATTCCAAGTTCGGCACTGCAGTTTATTAGTAACTCACAAGTTGTCTTAGATCAGTAGTTTGGAAGCACCTTTTCCAGCTAAAACTATTTATTAAAATGCACAAGCTTTTTCAACTCATGAAAGCTTACACCTTTTGGGTAAAATTTGTTAGCTGGAAAAGGTGTTATCAGTCTCCTGGTTTTTGCCCCATAGACTAACATAGCTTTATCTACAAGGTTTATAGGTTACCAGCTTTTCTGTCATTGCAGGTAAAGGCATTGAATAAGCTTAGCAAACACATTGCCTCTCTAAAAATCTGCAAGGCAGCATGTTCTGGACAAGCTACAAAATCCCTGTTGGTAAAGAAGTTTAAAAGCACTTTAGGTTTGCGGGCTTAAGTCTATCTCAGATGCTTCACTTGAGTTCTTCACATGCTGATAGTGATGCATTCATGCCATGGATTGGAAAAGTATTAACTAAAAATTAGGTGGTTATTCAGTTGTCCCACTTAATCCAAAAAATGGAACGCTTGTCTGCCATGAGCAATGATGCAATACATGATTTGAGGTTGTCCGGAGAAGAGCTGACGCGTGGCTATATGATTCAGAGAGACGCTGGGCTGAGCTGTGTCCTCCTTGCATCCTTGGGGCCAATCTCTGCTGCTCTGCCAGTGTTGCTTGGTTACACTGGCAGCATTTAGAGCTCCAGGTGACAAAAAAGATCTCATGGGGGGTGGGAGGGAGGGAGGGAAACACAGTTGCACCTGCCACTTTCTGTGCCAAGCCACATGAGTTGTGATCAACATGAAAGTAGAGAGAATAAGCTGGAAGATTGCTGAGAAGGAGCACCAAAATGACTGTCACTCTTCTGCAAGGAAAAAGCTATAAGGCCATAGGAAATAAATTATTTAGATTGCTTTCATAAACATGCTTAACTTTAAGCCCTTGTAACCAACTTATTTGGTAAGGTCGCAAACATTCTAAAACCACAAGAAAAATATGTATTATGGTATAAAGATGATGGTTTGGTTAACACAGCAATGGCTGGATTCCCATAGCATGCTGATTCATAAACTGTCACACTGATGGCTTGGTTTAATCTAACATGTTATGTGAGCCCCCTTAAGAGTGAAGGGATGACAGTGGAGGTTTTATATAAACCTATAAAGATTTCTGTGATGAATCTCGTGTAGAAAAAATGATTCTCCCCCCCCTCTTAGTTGGAGATGTTATGATGTTGATAAAAATGCATAATTTATAGAATTTATACTGCAAGATATGATGGCCACTGACACTAGATGACAGATATGTTACATTTATGTGGCTAGAGACGGCACTTAAAAAAAAAAGAATGTGAATGACTCTTCAGGAGCTGTGGATTTAAGTCATGGTGACATTTGAAGAGGGTTGGTTGGGAACATTTTGGTCATTTTTGGAACAAAGGAGAAATAGGTACAGTAAATCTTGCTTAGTTTTAAACCACCCATTTTGTAATGTAATATTTCCTTTAGAAAGGAAAATTTTGAGAGGTGTTTAAAAGAGAAAATGGATGCAGTACATTTCGTCATCTCTTTGTCTATAATAGCCAAAAAGACTTCAAATGGAGACGAAATAATAAGACCTTTGGTCAAAAGAACTGTCTGAATTCAGTTTCTGCAGGGTTTTTTTCCAGAGCTTTTCATAAACTCTGCAGCAGACAATGGTGAGCCAAATATGCTCACTGTTTACATTACATTATGACTGTAAGCTCTTTGGGCATTTGTCTTTTCCTTGCTTATATAAATGCTACAAACTTTGGTAACATTAAAATAATAAAATTATTTAACACAGTATCTGACTTGCCACGTGCCTACCAGGGACAATTCCATTTATTGATTGATGGCCTAAATATATATGATGCTTACTTATACAAAGGAATCTTACAACGTACAGAGCTTAAAACAGCCATAAAAATAATAGAGTCACTTGCTGATCTAAATGAACTCTTCTTGTCTGATTGCTCTACAGAAGATGGCTGTATTCACCAATTCCTGAGAGGCAAAAGGATAGATGTCAGTCTGACCTGTGGGGGCATCCAGAATGGGGGGGGGGCATGGGAATGTCTGCCATGCCTTTCTTCTCTATTCTCTGTCTCCCTTGAATCCTGCTAAGGATGGAGCAGCTTGGTGACATTTATCAGCCAGATACAAATATGTTCATTCCAAAGCTCAGTGTAACAGAAAAAGCCAACATATATGCATGTGGATGTGTGTGAATGTTTCTGTCCCAAGTCACCTATTTCAGTGTTTCCCTTTTAGAAACCAAGGAGGAGCTGGAGGAATTGATGTCTGATATCAAGAAGACCGCCAACAAAGTGCGCTCCAAGCTAAAGAGTTGAGTATCTGCTGCAGGTGTAAGGAGAGAGCAGGCCACTCTTTGCATGACTGTAATTGGAGTTTTTTGGGGGGCTTCCAAGTCTCTCCCTGATTTGAAATAACAGATAATGAAGGGATGCAAGCTTCACCTGCTGTGCTTGAAGCTGCTCACAGAGAGTCATTGCCTTAGTGCAGCGGTCCCCAACCTTTCCGGTTTGGCGGACTGAGATTGGACAAGCGGCAGGCGTGTGTGTGAGCGTATGCAACTCCATTTGTGCCAGCGGTGGGGGCCCGCCACTTTTGGTTCCCGCCGCTCTCACAAGTGGAGTTGCATTTGCCCGTTGCTTCTGCAGCCCGGTTCCAAACGGACTGTGGCCTGGTAGTGAGCTGCGGCCCAGCATGGCAACTCTCAAATGAAACCTACAGGTGATAACTTGCCAGGTGCAAGTTTTAAAAATGGGTCATTTATAGTAGAATCCTTCTCTTCTGGAGAGTTATTTTTAGTCCAGTCTGAAATGGATGTTCAGCAGGCAGAGAAGGAGAGACAGAGACTGAGACCATCTGTTTACCCTGTAATGTGCTTTTTCTTCCCTCTCTGAAAATAAGTTCTATTTTCTGCTTTTTCTTAGGTATTGAACAGAATATTGAACATGAGGAAGGGCTGAACAGATCATCAGCAGACTTGAGAATAAGGAAAACTCAGGTGGGTTCATTTCTAAAAAAGCCATGTTGCCTATCAATTCAGGGGTTTTCATGCACAGAATAACCAGGATAATCAAATGGTAGATTACTTTTAAAAATCTTATAGCCTTTGAAAATGGTTCTTTCTGTTTCTCGACATCTACAACAGTGGTTGGCAATTATTTGGGAGCCTTGTATGCCATTGTATGATCTTCATGGGAATGTCTCCCATGACACATTGTCTGTACTGATGCCCAAAACTTAGATCTGTTGCAAAACACAGTGTGTTTGACATTCTCCTCCCTACCTCTTGTAAATGGGCTAAAGGAGGTTATGTTTGCAAGGAGCAAAGTCAAATCCAATCATCCAGAGGTTGTCCAAGCCTGATCTATATCGTCATTTGACCTTTCTGAAACCAAGCAGATTGATAATGCTCTGTGGAAGGTAAATAAGGAAATTACAGAGACACCATTGCCTGTTCTGTAATCATATGAATACCCCAAATACAGTGTTGAAGAGATAGTGAAATATGGGCTATTGAATGTTTTGGGGGGATTTAGCTTTTTTCTCTCTCTCTTCCATCCATTCCAAGAATATAAAAAAATAGACTAAGGGGGTCTTCATGTAGACTAACACTGAATTTTATCTGTCTAACCATGTGGCTTCAAGAAGCCCATAAAAACAGGCAACACAGTTGTTTATTTGATAAGAGGGTATATGTCGTGTGTCTGATTAACGAAACACTTAAAAGGACTTTCAGGCATATTTTCTCCTAAAAGCATTTATTAAGGTTACAGAGATGTCAGTACAGCATGGTGGAAATGCTTAGGTCTGGCTTCTCTTCCGTTACGCATACATTCCAAGCATTTTTCCCTGCCTCTATTTTGGGGTCATGGTTCACATCTTCCAATTAACTTGGAAGATGTGATTTACTTCCGGTTTGGGCTATCCTTATTCTCCTCCCTTTT